CTATATTTTAAAAAGCAATCTTTTGGGCACACAGCCCTGTATTACTCATGGATAAGAAAACAGATGAAGATTTTTTCTTGGGGTGATTATTCTGTTGGTTCGTCATTAATATCAACAACAGCAGGAAAATTGCAAGAGCCCATCCTACTCCCTTGATAGCTGAGTTGCAAACCCAGGGACTTGACACATTTCTCTGCAGTTTCCCACAGACTGAGGAACAAGAAGTGAACTGCACCTATGTCTTCTGCTCCTGTGGAAGTAGTGATTAGTTATCCCAATCCTGTGCAAGAAATTACAGAAAGTGATACAACCAATCACTCAGGTGATAGATGAAGTAATGCTGGTGGTGCAGACGTCATATAAACCATACAGCCTGATTCACCAAAGACTCCCTCACATGGCGGAGGGACAGGTATTTCAGCACAGCCTGCTGAACCTCTGAAGCATGGGACTTCCCTAGTTCTGTGCTCACCTCATGAGTTCAGGCTGTGGGGTAGATAGGCCTCGCTTTTCATCCTGCACATGGAACATGGGAGGCTCCAGGGCTGCTGTGGAGCATAGATTTAAGGGCTTGAGCTCAGGTGAGGATGTGGGGAGGAGGACACCATGCTGCTCTGCAGCCATGGTAAGAAAGCAAGCAAACACTTCCATACCCAGAGGCTTGGTGCAAGAAGGCAGGCAGTAATTCAAGAGCCTTTCCTCTCAGCTGGAGAAATGTGCTGCTCTGCAGCTCAGGGGAACAGCCTGCCTGCCTAGATTTTTAGATATATTAGCAGTGAAGAGAGAAATTCAAAGAAGAGAACAAGTACTTTCTTCTTCATTGCACATCTGTGGCTTTGCAGGTTTTTCCACTGAAGTTTTCTTAGTGACTGAGCCAAAGTGGCTCACAGAGGAACTTGATTCACAGCCCCAGAAAAAAGCCCTACTATGTTCTCCTCCCCATCATTATCAGCTCCCTGTGGTATCCACCCAGCACCTTCTACACTGACCCTTGCCTGTCCCTGACAGCATCACCCTCTGGTCAAGTCCCTTCCTCCTCCCACACCAACCTCTGGCTTTTCGCTGTCCTGCTCCTTCATGCTTCTGCAAACCACTTCCCCAGCTGCATCCTTCAGTCAATATTTCCCCCTCCAGTGTCAACTGCCCCCGCCTCCTTGTCAGCCCATGGGCTGCTGTTAGTGGTGCTGAGGGGAAGTGTCCTGTGTAGAGGTGCAGAGTGATTAAGCCCTGTGGTCTGTCCACCTGCCAGGGAGGGTTTTCTTCTGGTGTCACTACCTGGATTTGTTGGTCCAGCTTCCTTCTGGACAAGCAGAGGTGTCAGCCTGCTATGCCCTTCCTCCTTTTATTATAAAGAGGATAACAGTACTTACCGTAACTGAAATCTTCACTCTTTCTCATCCAATCTCCAGGCCACCCCATGTACAGAAGGCAGAGTCATCTCCTCTCCTTCAGGTTGTTCTGGCCTTTCTCCTGCTGACTAGACTCCCAGCAGCTCAGAAGCCACTCATGACCAGACACAGCACTCTACAACATGCTTTAGGTGCAGACATGTTTGGATTGAACTTCTAGGTTCTACCTGGATTGGAATTAAACCTACAGAGATTTAATTCCCCTGCATTCAGCAATATTTAGACTTTGGTTTGGGCCTATGCTACAAAAAAAAAGGAGGAAACAAATTCTGTGCTCAAAGACAGGAGTGAACAGAGACAGTGACTCTAACAACTGAAACTGCGCATATCATAGAATCACAGAATTATTAAGGTTGGAAAAGATCTCTAAGATCACTTATCCCAACCATCAGCCCATCCCCACCATGCCCCCTAACCATGTCCCTCAGTGCCACATCCACACGGTTCTGGAACACCTCCAGGGATGGTGACTCCACCACCTCCCTGGGCAGCCTGTGCTGCTGCTGCACTGCTCTTTCTGAGGAGAAATTCTTCCTCATATCCAACCTGAACCTCCTCTGGTGCAACTTGAGGTCAACCGCTTTTGTCCTATTGTTACACCTGAGAGAAGAGGCTGAACCCCACCTTGCTAAAACCTGTGTTCAGGTCATTGTAGAGAGCGATAAGGTTTCCCTGAGCTTCCTCTTCTCCAGTCAACAGCCAGCTGTTGACTAATACCCCCATACGATACTGAATTTCCCCTTTTACCATCCTTGCTCAAGCTGATGAAAGCTTTACAGTGAGTGGGGAAATATCCCACCAAAGATCAGGACACATTGAGGAGAGGACTGTAGTAAGTGTCTGAGATAGCTGAGCAGTACCATGAGGACTTGGCTTATCCCCAAGCAGGCTATGTGGGTATTGCTCATGGGACCCTGTCTTCAACTCTAAGAGACATTCATTTATTTCATACTAAAGAGTTCGGGTGGAGAAAACACAAAAATGTCAGTCCCCCCACTGAACCTCCAGGCATTTTCAATGTTCTGCTCCTGGAGGCCCAAATCCTTTCTCAGAAAGGATGAATGTGAAGTTGCATCATGGTGCAACCCAATCCCCATTCCCTGGGGTAAAGACAGCAGTCTCAAATGCTGACAAAGCCCAGATTTGCTGCTGGGCAGACTCAGCTGCTAGCTTAAATATTTCACAGATTCTTTGGGTTCAGGCACTGCTGCAAAGCAGGGGCTTTCACACAGTGTCCTGCCCTATGTCGATTTGTGTCTAGCTCTTCCTCCTCCTGAAAGCTGGCCTTGTATCCTTAAGCAGCTCCAAACATCTGGCCTACATACGTCACAAACTCAAGTCAGAGATAATACAGCTGGGGCCCAAACCCAAAATAAAACAACAAACAGAGATTGTCCCTCCATGAGATTCTGCCTCTGTTTATTTCCTTAGATGCACCATTGCAGTGACTAAACCCACCACTAAAGCTGCGCTGTAGAAGCTTCAGAGCATGGGGAATAAGGCAGACCAAGATCCCTGGCTCCATTATCACCACTTTGCAAGTCCTCCTAGTAAATACAGGCTTTTCCTGCAGTTGTTGTGGATCCCACGATTATTGGTTTTGTGCTGAGCTCAGGAAGGTGCAGAAGGAATGAACCTCCCTGCTCACCATGTACACAGAGAAAATCCCAAAAAGCTGTTCCTATAATTATCTGTGTACAGAGTGAACAGGGTCACTGGGGATGTTGCTTTTGCTCCAGGGCTTGTTTGCAGAACCAGGGCTCCATTCACATCCTGTTTGTTTCCCTCTGGCCCTGAGGAAAAGTCACGTTGCTGTGCCCAGGTTCTGCAGTTGTCATGTCCATACAGGGCCAAGACATAAACCTCAGACACCCGTGCAGCAGGCTGGTTACCCACACACTATTTGGTTTGTACCACATAGGTGCGTGACACTGGGAACATCCACAATGTCAAGGCTCCTCAACACGTCTCTGTGGAAGACCTTTAAGGGCTGAGGGCAGGTGCCTCCACTTTTACCAGCCTGAAGAAATGTACAGCACATAATGCCCCAAATTCACCTCTTCACTGGCGTCTTCACTGTAATTATCTGTCTGCATCCAGATACCAACAGTTTCCATAAACTATATTCCAACCAGAGGTTAGGGGGCACTCAACTTTGACAAGAAAAGAACTGAACAAGGGAACTGACAAGGGAAGAACTTTTCTTCTCCAAAAGAGTGGTGCAGCAGTGGCACAGGCTGCCCAGGGAGGTGGTGGAGTCACCATCACTGACGGTGTTCAAGAACCATGGATGTGGCACTGAGGGACATGGTTAGTGAGCATGGTGGGGATGGGCTGGTTACTGGAGATTATCCTAGAGTTCTTTCCAATCTTAATGACTCTGTGATTCTGTGTTGGTTCTGCAGCTACAGAGTTCTGACACCCCATGTTGCTCACCTCCCTGCCTCTGAAGAGAGAGCTCACTGTGCAAGGAGACATTTCGTCAGCTTTGCCAACACAAGGCACAGTCCTGAATATTGTTTTGGTCATCTCACTTTCCCTTGGAAATGGGCATCAATACTGATTTCCTAAATGACTTTTACAGCAACAGTCTTGCTTTATGTAAGTGGAGAAGAAGGGAGGTCAGAGCACAACAGCAGGTAAATCTGGCTGCGTAAGTGACAGAGCCTCAGGCTGATAAGAGACATCAGATAGATTCACATGGAGGAGGCAAGAACTAATGCTGGGTTAACACCTGCCTCTCTGTTGTACACAGATCTTTCTTGCTGTGCCCTTCACTGTGGTGGTTAGCAGTTTCTTTGCATCCCCTTCAGCTCTTCACCTATCCCTCTGAAGTGGGCATCTGTGTTTGCTTCATTCACAAGTACAACTCCTTTCTATTCCCAGTTTTTTGCCTTGGGCCGATCTCTGAAAAATGTTGAGGTTTCTCAGCTTTACGCCTCTTAGTCTCCCTGTCTCAAGCCAAGTCTCTCAAGCCCCAAGAGACAATGCAGTCACTGTTTGACAGGAGCATCCATACTCCATGCCAAAGGATGCAGAGCCAACTATGAGGAAAGGCCACTGCATGCATCTAATACAGCAGAACAGAGATGGCTCAGACCCCTCGCCTGCAAAGTCCCCATCCTCTGTGTGCCAGCAGTGAGACCTCAGACATCTGAGGTCAATAAACTGACAACAGCCTCTCCTTCTAATGCACTGTGGAAATAGTCCCTACCTTGCAATGCAATTTTCTACTGCCATTCTGCCACAGCTTCCATTCCTTAATCTGCATCTCAGGCTTACTCATTTTTGCTGCACCAGCTCACATTTGCTGTAAAAAGCACTGTTCTGATCCCAGACCCTCACAGAAATCTCTTATCCTCGTGGACTTGTGGGTCACGTGTCTAGTTCCATGGGAAATGACTCTTAGCAACTAATCTGTCTGCTTAGATGTTGCAAGCCTGTTCATTCAGCAACGCACAGGCTTTGTCCTTAAGTGACAGACATGGGGAGTGGGAAATCACATGCTTCCATAAAAATTCAGGATATTCACTTTCTGCTTTATTTAGTACCATATGTGACATTAAACAACCAATCTGTTCCTAGTGTCACAATAGGTTGACTGAACCTGCTGGATCCCAGCATGGCACCAAAAGCAAAGAGAACATGGGAGGCATTATGAGAGAAACAGATCTGTCAGTCTTTCTGGGAGCTACAAGGTATATCTCTGATGTTGCGATTTTGTTATATTGCCTGTTGCTTCATCAGAGGTTAAGTGGAAGCACACTGTGTACAGCAATACCAGAGCACCTGGAAAAATAAGAGAGAGAGCTGGAGCCAGCAAATCAGAAGAGAGAAGTGATTCCTAGAGAGGACAGGCAGCAAATATGTGCATGGCATGGAGATGGGAATCTGTGACTGACTTGGCCCCTTAATCCTATTACACCAAGAATTCCTGAGCTGTGAAGCTAAGTGAACTCTTTATACACCAAGAGCAGATGGCTCTGGGCACAGTCATCATGTTTGTTGAGAAAGAGTTAGAGTTCCTCATTGAAGGCCTTCTCCTCTGGCTTGTCTTCTTCCTAAAACACAGTAAAGGCATGAAATCAACTTTGACATCACTCAGCTTCTCAGCACAGTGATAAAAGGAAACAAGCAAATTTAAATGTCTCCCTCTGTTCTCCATGGCACTGCCCTGCCTATTCTATTTCAATTGTACAACACAGGGTTCTGATGCACAAAGCTTCTATGTTACAGGAAGGTGAGGTTTGACAAAGAGAGAACACTAGCACTGAATGAACATGGAGATTAAACTGTCCCTCTCCTTCCAGAGACCTCCAGCAGAGCCCTTGTCTGTACACCTCATCTCTGTGGCCTTCTTTTCATCCCTGCCATTGATCACTGTCTCTCTGATCCTCTCCTGACTGCCACCATGATCATACTCAATGTCCAAAGCATCCTCCATCTAACCTCCCAGCTGCTGCTCCCAGAAAATAGATGCTTCCTTTGAGACCTTCATACAAAAGTCAATGAATTCTTCTTGCTGTAGACTGAGACGACAGAGGTCAGTGAACAAAGAGGTTCTGGAAACACATCCATATCTGCTCTGTTCAAGATCTAATGTTTTTTCTGATATTCAGGTGAAAATGAAAATGAGGAGGAGGTAGCAGATAGGGAATGTGTTCAAGGAGCTGAAGTTTTTTCCTTAAGAGCCTTGTGAGAAACAGCATCTTTCTATGAGACCCTAGCATCCTATAGCCTACTCAGAAATGCTCTCTTACCTTTTGCATTTTTTGTAAGAAAGCATTACAGAAGTCCTTCACACGTTCAATGGAGACTTCATCCAGAGGCAACACATCATGTTTCTCATCCGGTGTATGGAATATAGCCAGAGCTGGCAGCTGAGACTTCTTCAGTTTGAAGTATGCCATCACTTGCTCATTGCTTTTCAAGTTAATGTCTACCAGGACAAAGAGAATCTGTGATATAAATAGGAGACAAAATGTGAGCAAAGCAGAGACTGAGAGAACAGATCTTCAAACAGTCATCATAGACAGATTAACAGTAATATTTTTTTGAATTAGAGAAAACCTAACATGCTCTGTTATAACAACACTTTCCTCTGTCACTATTTAACTGCTCCATGCAGAGCATTTTTCCGTATTTTATCAAATCCATATTTACAATACAACTCAAACTCTCTGCTTATCCCTTCTTTAAAAATAAAAAAAATCCACAGTATGTTACAACGGCAGTCTCCTATTCTGTTCACTGAACAGATGAAGAACAAAGATGTCTTTTAACTCAAAGGCACATGTAGAAGAAGCTGATTCCTCTACTTGCATGCTGTCAGGATAAGATGCTTAGATTTATGCAAGAGCCAGGGTGGCATGGCAAAAAGGTATTTTGGTGTGTGGAAGATCAAACACAACTGCAAGAACATGGGAGGGAAGAATAGGACAGTATAAACTGTCAAGGATAAGAACATGAGAGTGCAAAACACAAAGGATGAATTTAGGTCAGCTGGAGTGACTAGAAATGAAGATGCAGTAATTTGGGAAATGAGAATTGTTGGCATTACACCACTGCCCCCACAGCCAAGTTTAATGGAGAGTTGTTTAGACTTGGGGAGAGATGCCCTGGTGAGAACAGCATACATTCTTCTGGACTCCCAAGTAGTCTTGGAGATCAAGACAAAGCCAAGGATCATAATACTGCTAGGATGATTTGACAGTATCCCATTTCAAGAGTAAATTGCAACTGATATTTTACAGGTTGCAGTAGGAATTGGTAGAAGATTAAAATTCTAGAATCTAAAACGTTATCAATAAGGTGCTCATCTATATAAAAAAAGCTTTGTTAAATTGTCTGTTAATAATAAATACAAATATTACGTATACATCTGATAGAGTAAATACAGCAGTTGAACAATTTAATCAATGATCTGATTAAATAGATTCCTACAGCAGGTGACATCCAAGTCAAAGAAACCAGCTAGTATGTGTTATTTTATCTTCTCTTTGAGCTGTGCAGTCTATAGGGCCTAGTATATTAAATGTGCCTACAGACATGGGTACAACCCAATTTATACAAGAAATAGAGGCATTTACAAAAATAACATTAATGTGACATGAAGATGATGTGCTCAGTTCCCAGGCTGTGACTCATCTTTTTCCTTCTTTTCAATCAAGAACACTCAAGCTAGTTCAAAACTGTTTGATTCTTTAAAAGTAATCTTGGTAAATTTTTACTTTTTACTTTTACAACTTTTTACACAGGTGAAAGAATATGGGGAAACTATTTTAAAATAAAGGAGGAGAGATTTAGAATAGATACTGGGGGAAGTTTTTCACTGAGAGGGCGATGAGGTGCTGTCACAGGTTGCCCAGAGAGCTGCAGGTGCCCCATTCCTGGAATCATTCAAGGCCAGGTTGGATGGGGCACTGAGCAGCCTGAGCTGGTGGGTGGCAGCCCTGTCCAAGGCAGGGGTTGGAGCTGATAATCTTTGAGGTCCTTTCCAACCCAAACCATTCTATGATTCAATAATCTCATATTTTTAATTAAAATTATGTTCTTAAAAACAAAACAAAAATATATACATATATGGAAACTTCTCTAGGCAATGGCCTATAGGAAGAATAAGTAGGCTGAGGTAAGCCTAACTGTAGTTAATCACTGTGATAAACAGCAACAGTTTCACTGGATTTAACAGATGCACTTGCAATGTCTCTTCCAAGAGTTAACTATGTTCCAGAGGCAACAACTAATGAGCAGACAGGTTGTGGTTCAGAATGCTAAGTTCAGAATGCTAAGTTCATCCTTTTGCAGGATAAAACATCAAACCAGAGCTCTCTGGTTTGATCATCATAAATCCAAGGGTCATAGATCTAAGGATCTATCTAAGAGCTGAACCCCAAGTTCTGAGCTGGAGTGGAAGGAACTGGAACAAGCCTTGTGTTTAAGGGCTCTCCTTCTAACATGCAAACTGGAATAGGCTAGTGTTGGATGGAAGCACTTTCAGAGGGATGGTACAGGGGGTGGTATCATATTCTTCACCAATTTGTTCACCAAGTTTTGGTTTTCTCTATGGAATATTCACTAGACAACAGCATTTTCTTAAATCAAATGTTAAACAAGAATTCAATTTGATAAAGACTTTGGAATACTAAGTTTGTTAATTTTTTATTTCTTTGTTATGCAGAAGTTCCTCCAGCTTTAAAACAGATGAGCAGCATTTCAAACACTGATATAAATGTAAGTCAACATTCTTCCCTTTAGCCTTTGTTAAAAATCCTCAAACTAAGAAACTATGAGCATGAAGAACAGAGTAAAAAATAAAAGAGTAAAAAGTTTGAGGATTAGAATTCTTGTTTTCTTCCTTGCATAAAAAAACAGTTAAAACGGAAAACTTAACTAGAACAGCTGTTAACATCATCCACAGTTCTTGTATTGGATATCTCCAGTGACACACATGGAGCTCACACAGCTGCAGGCTGCCAAAATACAGCACTGGGTGCACTGGTCTCCAAGTGACAGCTGTGGGGCAGTCTGTAGGGTGAACTTATGCTGAGGCCACAAGCACTGGAAGCCTGGTCTCTGAAGCAGCAAGAAACCAAGCAGATTTTTGAGCACAGACGTGTCCATGATAGATCCCACCTGGTGGAACTGGCATTTTCTCATGAGGAATTTGTTTTACTTAGAGATTCCCAGCCAGCTGTAATCATAAAGAATAAATGCGGTAACCATGGAAAATCCTACTGACCATGAAACAATTCACTTTGCCTAACTTCTGACATCTAAATCTTGGTCTGGTCTCCGGCAGTTATCTAGGATGAACTCTTCAACAAATGTTGACAGGCACTTCTATTACATGTATTTTAGAAGGGAATTAAGGATTGTTCTCCACTGCCAGTGCTGAAATGAGCCTAAAGCCTTTGCTCAGACTACTTACCAAAGCTATAACTCACAGAAACAAATTCCATTTACAATGCCAACTCTCATATCACTAGTAGAAACTAGATAGTTTCATCCAAAACAGAAAGTTTGTTTTCTATTTTAAACTATTCTCTGCAATAGCTGTTTTTTTTTTTCCCCGTCAAAAACAATTTTCTATGAATTCGCTTCAACTTGTATCAATCCCCTTGTGTGTGTATGTGTGTTTAAAGACCTGCTACCAGAGGCAGTGAAAGAGCTATTGCAGCTATTGCATGCATGAGAACTCCCAAAACAAACTACCTAGACATGATGTTCTGAGAAAACATTACACCGTGCAATATTATCTGTGCAATGTTATCCGTATTGAGTTCTTTCAAAGATTTTTTTACATGGTGTTGTCTTAGTGTCTTGACAACTTGATTCCTGGCCTGGTGCTTTTAGAACATGAAGTTCCTGGTAAATGCTAAGATATAGAATGATGGTATTGTTCAAGGAGTTCAGTGAAATTGAACATAGTACTGCAATGGTGGAAACCAATTTCATGTTTCTTAGTTTCTTCTCCAAAGAAGACCAACAGGAAGGATGATCAAGCCTTGTATCTAGTGTTTGACCTTGAGCTTTATGGAGCTGTTATCTTCATTCTTTGAGGAGGCTGTCTAAGCAAAAATATCAACTTCTGAAGTCTGAGTCATTTCTTTCATAGTTTACTTAGTAAATCAAAGCAAAAAAAATGAAAACATTAGTCACAAATTAAAAAAGAAAAAAAAGAAAGCTATATAAACAACTTCAGATATCCGTCTAGTGACAGACATTCCATATTTGCATGTTTTCCTGTTTATGACTAACTCTAACGATAATCCCTCTCAGCTTTGGAGACATCTGTATCTGCCAATCAAAATAAAAACTGTATAAATTACTGTCTTCAAGAAAAAGGACACTGTCCTTTCCTTTTCATAGAAGAACTCTTGAAGGTCTTTCAGCAGTTTCTCAGAACTAATTTCTAAATGGCCCTACATATAAACTAAAAGGGGCTTTGTGAACGTCACTACACATATCATTTTAACATTATAAACCATGTTATATCAGTCGTAGCAGAAACTGCTTTTATTATTCCCAGAATCACCTTATTGAAACGTCTACAAACACTCATGAGCTACACCAAATGTCATTGTCATGTTGTACTCTGATATTACAGAAAGAAAACTGAAGATGCTTATGTTAGTTTGGCTCACTAACACTAATTCTGACGTTTCCTTTCCAGTAGAAAGCTTGGATTTTTGGCAGTACTTTTCCAAATGAGTACATATTTGATTGCTGTGGGACCCTTCTAAGGACACTGGTGGGTTCCTGCAGCTGTAGCACTGAGTTCTGTCTGTTCATTGTTACTCACCCACAATTGTTTCTCAAGATTTGCTAGAAAGTACCACATTTCTTATTATTATTGTCAGCTCTTGGTTACTTAGCATTATCTAACATTTGTGTTTTCCTCTCCAGCATTTTATAGCCCTCGGATTGCACTATCAAATCAAGAAGAATCTCTAGATGAAAACCTGAGATTTGTCTCAGGTAGAGATGAAAATATCATAAAACAAAGAGGAAGGGATCATAACTCAGGAAGTGCCAGGTGAATCACCTCCTCATTATTTATTTTCTTCACTTTTTGGGTCAACAGCATTTTCTCTTCTTCTCTCCATAAGTCCACACAACAGGTTGTATCCTTTCTCCAAGTGGTAAAGACAAGGACAAGGACTCCTTTTCCCTCAGACCTCAGCAGAGATGAGTGAAAGAATTGGCACCTCAAATCCTGCTTGAGAACCTTCTCAAGACTACATCAGTGTTCTGTGCTGTCACTGAAGAGCAGGTGGGACACACACCATGTCCCCATTCCTACAGCACTCTGCAAGCTCTATGCAGTTGTATATGCTCAGAGAGCGCCTGAAAACCTCCTTACTGCACAGCAATGATTGTAAACTCAAATCAGTGATTGCAAACTCAAACTGCAGCACAAATAAGTCCTAGTCCTGGTCTTTTTTTACTGCTTTGTAAGAAGGCAGCCTGAATCATAATTTGCTTCTCAGAACGCTCATCCCATGGGAAACACAACCTACTAGATTCTCAATCCTTCCATCTAGGTGCATAGCAGTACCACCACAGTAAAGTGCAAATAATTAGCCAAACCCCTACACCTTTTAGCTCTGTATTTTATTTTTTGCAAATTTCCTCTAGGCTGATTCAGGGAGAAATTTGCCTGCATGAATTAAAAAAAAGTTAGATTTGGATAGCTGGTAATTCATTAATTATCTGGACTGCAGTATGACTTTTTTATCCAATGCTTTGTGAAGTCGTTCTAGGAAAATCATTCCCCTTCACTCAGATCAAAGCATGCCATATGAGTGGAAAACGGGCTGCAGCTGCATCAGCAAAGGACAGTGATGCTTAACAGTATCACTGCTGATGAACAGAGATAATGGAGCCACTGTAACAAATATCTCACATGACAACTGGACTTTTTCAGATTGTTTTCTTTTATCAGCAAGTATCAATCAAAACAAAACACTTTTTAAGAGATCTTTGACTTTCACACATGGTTTCTGCCCACTCTCTTGTCAATGGGCGGTAGAAATGGCAAGATCCATGGAAGTCCTGTCATAAACAAATCTCGAGACATTTGAGGGTGTGTGGTCCTGAGGAGGCCTTTCCAACTGAAGATAAGAATATACTTGAATTTTAATCTTCTCCTTCAGTACAGCAAACAGATCATGCAGATGTTCTTGTTCTCAAACCCCAACTCTTTCCAACTCCACGTTTCTCCCAGGAAGATCCCTTCCACTGCCACTCATCTCAGCCTTCTCTGATGCTTTGATCTCCTGTCCTAAATGCCTGCCTGTTGCTTCCAATCCCTTTTTGCTTGCCAGTTCCTTTCTCTGTTCCCTGGACCAAAATCCCCTGTAATCCAGCTGCTGGCATAGAATCAGCCATGTGAAGATTTACTGCTTGGAGAGCTCTGTCCACACAGGGATGGGAATTGGAGGAAACTTCTCTGAAAGATCCCATCTACCCCACCATCTTGCTGTGGGAAATCAGAAAAAACCATCCTCAATTCCTTTAAAATAGCCATTTCCTCAGGAACCAACCAGAAGGCTAAGTGTTAAGAAGAACTGCAACACTAATTTCTATCTGGTCACTTATATAATGTTCTTTGGCATCTCGCAAGCTGTATGTACAAGATCACCTCTCATAACAGTGGAATGTGACCATTGCTGGGCAGAAGTGCAACAGCTGTTTGTCATCTCCCAGTGGAAGAGAATAAAATTGGCCTAGAAGCCAGGAAGTACACAATGTCCCACTGAGAGAGTGGGGAAGCGGGATACAAAGGTTATTCCCCCTTGGAGGTAAACTGGCAAAAGGTGTACAGATACAACTTGTTCATTTAATTATCCAGATAATCATCTTTTCTTCCCATTTGGTCATTTCTCCCCTAATAGTAGCACAGAACAGGACATGATGCCTTCTATTTCCGTGGAAATAATCACTGTCTTTCTTTTTTGCTCTCCCACGACTCTCCTCTTTGGACTTACCTTATCCTCAAAGAGCTCCGCTGCTTCACGATATCTGCGCATTTGCTCAGGGTGCTCTGGGGACTTCTTGTCTGTGAACAGGAGGAGGTGGAGCTGGAGAGAACTGTGCAGCACACCTACTGCTGTCTGCCAAAAAACATGACCACCACAAACAGAGAGAGAAACACACAAAGACATTCAATGCATATCGGATGCACTGCCAGAAGGGCATCAACTCCTATGCCTAAACTGAGACTTCTTTGAGAATCAGTCCAATAAGCAGGACAAGTTCTTTTAAAGCAGGAGGCATCTAATCTGGGTTCTTTGTGGAAGCACTTAACCTCTTGGTTTCACTTATTCCTGAGCCAAGAGTCTGCAGCTCACAAGGGCTCCTCACTGCCCTTGGGATGGCCAGTGACCAGGCAGGGAGACTGTCTGCTCAGAGCAAGCTGATGTCTGGAATGGCAAGGAATTGGAGAGGGAAGGTTTGAAAACAATATAATAAGAGGAGACTCAGGGGAGACTTGATCACACTCTGCAATGACCAGAAAGGAGATGGTAACGAAGCTGGGGTCGGCCTCATGGCCTCAAGTTGCACAAGCGGGGGTTCAGCTTGGATATTAGGAAAAAATTCTCCAAAAGACCGGTCAGGCACTGGAACAAGCTGTCCAGGGGGTGGTGGAATCAATGTCCCTGGAAGTTTTCAAGAAACATGTAGCTGTGGAACTGAGGAACATAGTGGACAGTGTTGGTGGAAGGTGAATGGTTGGGCTAGATGATCAAAGATGTCTTTTCCAGACATATGGACTCTGATTGTATGATTCCATGGTAATGATGCCCTGAATTGCTGAGATCCAGCATCTGGCTGAATTGGGAACAAGCAAGTGGGAAGGGTTTATGATGCTGAGTTTGGTGTTTCATCTTATTTCCTTTCCTCAGCATTGCACTGTGTTTTGGATGAGGCTGAGTCCCAAGCTCCATTTCAGCAACCCAAGGGGCTGGGCAGTCCAAAATGCCTTGGGTTAAGACTACCTCTGCAGTGGGGAGAGGACTGCAGCAGGTTGTGCCTGGGCAGGGGCTGAGCAGGCCGCATACAATTGCCATTTGTGAGGAGCACGGACTGGCAGTGTCCAGAAAGCCCATGTGCAACCTCCAGGTATTCACTGCTCCTCATCCCACCTCTCCTCCCACCTGCTCCCCAGGCAAATCGCTTCTCCCTCAAACCAAACAGGAGTGGGGCTGTGCTCCAGCTGACCTGCTGCATCCCCACACACAGCCAAAACCACACAGGCCATAGAGATCCATGCCAGCACTTCCCCAGAGGAGGAGAAAGTTTCCACACACTCCAGGAGTAACAGAGACAGGGTCAGAGAGTGCATGTCTGCGCCACAGAGCATCTTGTTTCTGGTGGCTGGGATTTTCTCCTTTGCATAATGCTTATCAGACTTTTCGTATCCCTTAACTTCTCTGTAGCATGCAGGTGGGGCAGGGCAGAGCAGAAGGAATGCAGAGTGTCAGAAGACCTCATGGAAAAGGACAGAGCTGGAGATAAGGGTGAAGCCAGGCAGCACCAGAGCCATGGAGCTGTGGGAGCATGGCTGGAGCTGCAGTTCCCCCGACAGTGGCGCACAAAGATATATCTGTCCACACAGACTTTCGCAAGAGATTTGCATAGCTTAGCATCACGGCTGGATTGCATCACACTCTCCTGGGAAGTACACAGGCTAAGTGTTGCATAAAAATGCCTGAAGTATGTGGGAGAAACAGTTAGGGCCCCGGGACAGGGAGAGAAACTCTTGGCAGCGCTTGATTTGATCTCTGTTATCCAAGCCTTTGCTGACCTGCAGCTTTCTTAGATATAAACAGCATATGCACTGGGAATAAATATTTGCAAAAAAAAAAACAAAAAACAAAAAACAAAAAACAAACCAATAAGTTATGTTAGCAGAGCTGGAAGAGTTTCAATCCTAGGACTGCAGGAGGCACTGTTAATTGCGGCACCTTGGTAGGGCTCCAGAGTGTCAAGAGAAAAAGAAAAAAAGCAATAAAACACCACATGTAGTGCAAGCCAGGATGGAAGGAATGGCTGAAAAGCTCAGGATCTCCAGGTCAGAAAGGCAGTCTGGGTGCTGAATGGGACACTATGGAGCAGAAACTCACAGAGAGAGAGCTACAGTCTGATGAACTGCCAAGGGATGCAGTGAAGGCCACGAGGATTCAGAAGGCCAGGATTTTTATAAAGATAATAAGAACATCCCCACTGTCACTTCTGGGCCGCTCTCAAAGAGTTGTCAGGACAGAGGGGCAGGATATAGCTTTTCTGCTCTAGGAAATGTTCTGTGATTTTGAAATGTTTTTCATATCCTTTCTCAGAAGGAAAAAAATAAATCTGTGTTTTAATTATTATTTAAAAAAAAAAAAAAGCAGAAAAAAAGATTCTACAGTATTTCACTTCAGAAACAAAATGCTGCATTTCTAAAACAAAATGCTCTCCCAAAATAGCATGCTGAACCTGAACTGGGGAATGTGCCAGCCCTCTTATCTGATGTTTGGCATCTGTTTGAAAAGATACAGCTTTGAAATTGGTCAGGCCATCCTCCTTTGATTATACTGAGCACGATCAGCACTGCTAGAGCTATTGAGAAGACACTGTTAGCAATGACAGTCTCAGCCTTGCAGTCAGCTGGTGTTATAAAAACTACTTGCTCCATAGCAAGCATCCCAGTGAACTGCCAGCATTTCAGGGGAGCCTGTGGTCACCCTCTGTAGGCAGAAGGAGATGTGCCAAGTGCCAGACAGGTGGGTAAGCTAAAGAAGATGACCAGCATGGAAGCATTAAGTAAAAAAGAACATGAAACTATCAGAGATTGTCCAAAGGAGGACTACAAAGATGATGAAGGGTCTGGAGGACAAGGCATATGAGGAGCAGCTGAAGTCCTCTGGTTTGCTCACCCAGAGCAGAGGAGCTGAGGGGAGGCCTGATGGCTGCCGCTCCTCATAGGGAGAGGAGGGGCAGCGCTGAGCTCTGCTCTGTGTGATAGTGACAGGGCCCGAGGAACGGCATGGAGCTGCGTCAGGGGAGGGCAGCTGGGGGTGAGGGACAGGGACTCTCACACCAGAGAGTGGTGGGCATGGAACGGGCTGCACAGAAGTGGCACTGCCCCAAGTACCGGAGTTCAAGAAGCATCTGGACGGTGCTCTCAGGCATATGGTCTGATTTTCGGGTTGCCCTGTGTTGGAGCCAAGAGTTGGACTTGCACATCCTTACGGGTCTCTTCCAGATCAGGATATTCTATGACTCTATGATTCTGTGATTCTATGATCCTATGTCTGATTTTTTTTTTTTGTAGAGTTGACAAACAATGGGGTAAAGGATGGAGGGGATGGGAAAATTTTTGTTTGGGAAGTTTCCTACCAGTTTTTGAATATGCTTTAAAATAGCCAGACATATGTTAAGCCCATTTTTCTGGGTAATGAAGAAAAACCTGCTCCAAGGAGAAGGTCACTGGATTTCCGTGTTTCTTGAGGTTTCTCAGCCACAGAGAGAGGATCCTGGCTGAGCAAGATCTATAGACATGGTACGGCATGACAAATGCCCCAGGGAAGAAGCAGCAGGAGTGGTAAGAAATGCAGTTCTTTGCCCACCAATGTCTCAAATCTACTGGGAGATCGGAGGAAGTGCCTTCTATCCTCTCTCCACCCCACCTGTCTAATCCAATGCAAGATCTGCTCCCACGTCATTCAGCAGCAGCAAAGATATGCACCGGCTTCCCCCAACTCCATCTACACCACTGTGGCAACCCCTGCACGCATCCTCATGCATAAACACTTGAGCCAGAGGAGGCAGCTATGGAGGAGGCCAGGTGCTGGGGTGAGGGCAGTGAGGAGCTGCTAATTACCGTAGGGTTGTACTCTGTCACCAGGCGGAGCTCATTCATTCGAATGAAACGAGTCATCTTATCGGCATCGATTTCTTCTTTGTCCATATCCATATCTATCCTTTCTTTGTCTGCCTGAAGACATGCAAAGATACCACAGGTCACAGCTGTCCCTCCCTTATTTCCTTCAGAGCTGCTGATGGCACTCACTCACAGAGACACCCACCCCCCAGGACACCATCTTTGTCTTCTTTCCAGAATAAAAACGCCATTTCTTGAGCCATTAGACCTACAGAGATCTGCATGCGCTTCGGCATAAGGATCTTCCACCCTCCCTCAGTCTCCCAAGGACAAAGCAAACTCATGGCATATCACTGAGAACAAGACGTTCTCGGTGATATGCTGAGGACAAGATGTCCTATCGTTATCTGCTCTTACTGCACTGGAGACAGGGAAGATTAGCCAATAAACTAATCTAGGAGTTGTGAGAAGCGATCATTAACATAGCCTAATTCCTTACATTGATTTTGGCTTTATATTCCTCTTTAAAATCTTCATCTGCTTATTCTATTTCTTCTACAAGTAATAAACATTGGCATGGACTGTATGGATTTCCTGGAAACATTGTGCAAGCAGGAAATCTCTCCAATAAAAAGAGGATTTTTTTCCAGAACAGCAGAAAAAAAAAAAAATAAATAAAAAATCAAGCACAGCACATTTTAGCTTTAGAGGAAAATCCATCCTGCCACACATCTTCCCACACTCACCCCCTCTCACCCCCAGTGTAATTTTATTGAGGTTTGCTTGACTTGGTAAACAGGAAAAAAAAAAAGAGCAGTCAAACATCAAATAAAGGCCAAACCAGCCAACAGGGCATAGTTGCTCTATGGTACCATTGCAAGAGATGAATGAGTTGAGCCACGGGCGTGCTAGGCTGTGACAACCAGTGGGATCAAAGTTTGGGATTTGAAGACTTTTCATACTCGTGTTGAATGAGGTTCTTAGAGCTGAGGAAATGTCCACATGCACACCCCGGATTTTATCCTCTGCATCTGTGCAACCTCTGAAAACACTTGTGTTAGTTTTTCCAGCAGAGTGCAGACATCTAACAAAATTTTTTGCTTTTCTGTGGTCATTAGCAACGTCTTTCATCTGGTAGGGGGCCATTGGGTCTGGTAACCCAAACGGGTGTTTTTCAGACAGTGCACCATGATTTCTCTCACAGATTTGCCCCAGCATAAAGTGAAAGGGTGACTCTACTCTAGTGAATGGGATCAGGTTGGTGCAACACCTGAGCAGGTGAGATCAGAGAGACTTTGGGACCCAATCTAAGCACAGAAAACTTTCTCTTAACTTTAGTGAACTTCTGCAAACACCTGGTTTCCATCTAGGGGTAAAAATATCCTTGATGTGCTGTCAGCATTCAGGATCCCAAGGAAAAAAAAGTTGAAAATGGTCTGCATCTAATAGTTGAAGCTCTGCCCAAAATGTCTTCATTACTCTTTGTAATTAGCTTATTTACATCTGTTAGTTATGTCCTTTTAGATCTGTCAGGCTAGATTCTTCAATAGAATAAATTAGCTTTGCTCCACTATACACAAAAACATTTCAGCAGTTGACAGCAGACCATCCTACTACCGTAATTACAAATTTCTGAGCATTATGTGTGTTTCATGCTATGCAAAAACAAGGAAGGATGAGTTTATGCCTCTGATTCACTGTCATCCTGGTCACCCATCTTTGTATTCTTCAAATGAATGTTTAATTCTAAGTTCCCATCTCAGTTCTTTTTACTTTTATTTCTTAGCTCTGACTCCTTACTCCTACACAGTGTTCAGAATAAAAGGAAAAATAATGTGTCTGAATAACTTAAATTTCAGAAAAATAACTTAAATTTAAGAAAATTAGACAAAAGAATTGCCAACCTCATTTGAACCTAGCTAGTGTCTTTGTTTCTTGATTTTTTTTCCTTATTAAATAAGAATTCAGCTGTAAAAATTGAACCGTGAACCATAGAACACAAATTCCAACAATCCAAACTTTCTTTTATCGAACACCATCCCAATGCAGTATTCAATCCTCACTATCTGCCACAGAGTAAAAACAAAGGATCTTTTCAGTGTTTCTGGAAGAAAATCATCATGGCTAAGAACCAAAACTGAGGTGAGTGTTACTTCAAATCGCAATTGCAGCATTGCACCAGGGGAGATTCAAGTTGGATGTTAGGAAACATTCTTCCTGGAAGAGTGGTCGTGCACTGGAATGGGCTGCCCAGGAGAGTGGTGGAGTCACCACTCCTGGAGGTGTTCAAGAAACGTTTAGATGTTGTACTATGGGGCATGATTTAATGGGGACATATCGGTGGTAGGTGGGTGGTTGGACTGGAGGATCTTGGAGGTCTTTTCCAACCTTGGTGATTCTGTGATTCTACTATCTGTGCATGGCTAATAGAAAGTTAAAGGAAAGGACTTGTCTACTTATTGCTCACTCTTAGATCATTCTCCTTGCACTATTTGGATTATACTGGTGGTAAACATGGTGCAGGCAAAAGATGAAAAAGAACGGGAACAAATGGGCTTTATGTAACCTTTGTGAAACTCAGATCTAGAACTTGACTAAGGCACCACATCCAGCTTCTGTAGCACACAGAACAACCAGCCAGTGTGCTTAGAGCTCTTGTAACACTGCACTTTGTAGCTTTTTAGGATATCTTGCACTTCTTAAGGCCCCTCTCCTCTGAGGCACCTCTCTCCCCTGTTTTCAAGTGCAATCCCAGGAAACTGATATGCCTGCTCTTGGCTTTTGGTGGTATTCTTGCAGTAAGTACAAGGCCCTTCAAAAAACCCTTCAAAATATCATCTTCTTATATTTCAGTAGAAATACCTTCAATTTCAGAACAAGACAACTATGGCTGCAGTCAAAATTATTTGAGCTTGCACAGCATCCATCCCTCAGAAACTGCAAAGTAGTACCTTGAGTGCTGTGTTTAGTTTTGTACGCCTGTACTCAAGGTTCAGGTGAGACCTTATTACTCTCTACAATGATCTGAAAAGAGGGTGTAGCAAGATGGGAGTCACTCTTTTCTCCTGGGTAACAGCAATAGGATGAGAGGTGATGACAAGTTGTTCCAGAGGAGGCTCAGGTTGGAAAAAATTTCTTAGAATCACAGAATCACAGAACTGCAGGAGTTGGAAGGGACCTCAAGAGATCACTGAGTCCAACTCCCCTGCTAAAGGATGTCCTCGACATTAAATCTCACAAGTAGGCATCCAGACAGATCTTTAATATCTCCATAGAAAAAAACTCCACAATCTCTTTGGACAACCTATTCCAGTGGTCTGTCACCCTTACTATACAGAAGTTCTTCCACATGTCTTTGGAACTTACTATTGTCAAATTTTAGGCCATTACTCCATGTCCTATCACTACCAGCCACTGGTCATCTTGACCACAAGGGCACACTGCCCTTAATAGAGTGGTGCTGCACTGGCACAGGCTGCCCAGGGAGGTGATGGAATCACCATCCCTGGAGGTATTCAAGAGCCATGTGGATGTGGCATTGAGGGACATGGTCAATGGGCACAGTGGGGATGGGCTGATGGTTGGACTAGGTGATCTTAGTGGTATTTTCCAACCATAATGATCCTGTGATTCTACAATTATTAATGGGCCCATGCCCAAAGAATAGCACATCAACTACAGTGTTAGACTTACGAGGGATCTACTGTTGGGGATTTCATTTGGTGGCAGGCACGGCATCTGTCGCTGCAGAGCCCTGCTCCGCCTCTGATGGAAAAATTGGGCATGCACGGAGCCAGCTTAGCCTGCCTGAAGTGAGCTTGGCAAGATGTGATTTCCTGCTGTGTTGATTCACTGTAACACTGCCGGGAGATGCCTTCCATGTGCCTCAGGAGCCTTTCCAAAGCCACGGGAACCCCATCCAAGTCACGCCGCACTCCGTGCGAGCCACTCAGAACACAGCCCCCATTCTTTGTAAAGAACCTCGTTCCGAGCGCCCCGCCGCGCACGCACCCTGCGGAACAGCGTGACGGTGGCCGCCGCCACGCCGTAGTGCTCCCGCACCGCGGAGCTGCTGCTGAGCGCGAAGGGCACCTCCGGCATCCGCGCGGCCGCCAGGCGGAGCTGCGACACCTCGGGGCTCTCCGGCTCCTGCGGGCACAGGGAGAGAGGGCGGTCAGAGCGGCGCCCCGACGGCGTAAGGGCGACACCTACCGGCCGCCCCGGAGCCGCCCGCGGGGCGCCTCGCTCCGCCATTTCCCGCAGCTGCGGGCGCGCGGCCTTCCTCTTCGTCTTCCTCCCGGCGCTGGGAGCCGCGGGGCTGCAGCTGCCCCCTGTGCACCCTGCGGTGATGTGAAGCCCTGGAGCTCTCAGAAAGGAGGCGAGAAAGTCAGAACCCAGGTGTAACCCTTACCTATGTACATGTGCAAACGTGCATGCTATATGCATTATATACATAGATCATTTTTAAGAGAGTCTCTTGATTCTGGAGTCCAGGGGGCTGTTAAAATTGTTAAATACCTCGGGCTTACCACATCTAGTGAGAGCATTAGCTCCAGCCTGAGGCTGCATTAACGCATGCCTTCCTATTCCCATTCCTAACTTCTCTGCTGAGGGATGTATTTTTGATACGTTTTAGATTCAAATTCTCCAGACACAGTCTCTGCTTGGAAGCTGTTTTGTTTTTCTTTTCGTTTTGAACTGTCAGCTCAGCTGTTTGCGAGCCCAGAGAGAACAGAAAACAAAATTCCTTCTTCAGTGAAAGGAAAACAGTTCTTGTGACTTGTTTTGGAAATGCCAGCGCGTCAACATGGCTGTGGTGATTGCATTAAGGCATGGTGTGGGAATTTGCTTTGTTTTGGAGCATTCCTATGAAGGATGGGTTTGGTCTGGCTGAACAGGCCCTGTTCTCACACAGCACACGGGGCAGCACGCTGTTTTTCCATCGTGGCATGCAGTTCCCAGCTCATTACAGGCACAGCTTGCTGAGCTGTGCGCTGCAGTGAGCTGAAAGGCTGCAGCAGAGAAATGATTTATGGTGAGCAGGGAACGCAGGCATTATGTGGATGAATATACCCTTGGGCAGAGGGCCAAGACAAGGCCTCATGGCACTCATAGGTCCTTATCTGCCGCTTAAACAGAGCGCTGCTGTGCTTCACGCACTGAACACATGCCAGGCTGCTGGCTGCTGCCCTGTGTTCCTGGCAGCCAGGACTGTCCCCACACTTCAGGACGGCACACTCAGCCCTCCCTGCCCTAGCAACTTGTGCTGCCTAGACCCATGCTGATAAATGAAACTATGCCATAGGAGGGAGGCAGAGGTGGCATGGGGTTCTGGCGGCATGAAACTGCCCACAGGAGGTCCCAGCCCTGCTGCAACCCCAGCCAGCTGCCCCAGAGAAGGAGACACCTACAGCCTCTGTGGCTTGTAGGGCTACAGTGCTGCCAGACAGGCCCCTAAGGAATTCTGTATGCCTGCAGGCCCCAGCCCCAGGCAGCTAGTGCTCTGTGATCAGTGTTAAGCAAGGCCTGGGGCAAACGCCTCCAGCATTCACACACTTGTTGCTACAGAAGCAGCAGTCCTCACTGCAGTGTGCTGCAAGATGTCATTGCCTTAACCCACTCGCATAACCCCTCCCTAGTCTGCTCTCCAGCCCCAGGACTAAGGCAGGAGGAGGAAGGAGCTTGCAGAGGGAAGTTAGTTTTGGAAGGATTAAGTCTTCTCTGGCATAAGCAGTGTATGCAGTCCAGAGTTCAAGTAGCAGGAAAAAGGGGCAAGTGACACATGCAACTATCGGTCACTCTGATGCCTCATTTCAATTTAATTTGGTCATGGAGAGGCACAGACCTCAACGGTATCAACTCTGGGGAACAAAGCAGCCAGAGGGACCGTACCTCTGTTCTCTCTAAGAGAAAACTGAGCTTAAGCCCAAATCCTCTCAGACACAATGCCCACCATCACTGCTCCCTGGGGCCCAGCTTCCCCAGCTGTGCCATGCAGGCAGTGCCTTGCTCTGCCACCAATGACCAAAGCCAACAGCCAACGTTCCCACAGCACTCAGTTTCTCTGCCACCCACATTCCCCTTTTCCTTCTCATGCAGCATTTTTCTTTTTCACACTCCAGGTTCCTACCAACAGCCTCACATCCCCCCCTTGCTCCATTTCCCACTCCATTCACCCCTCACTTCATGACTTCAAGTCTATCACAACTCCAGCATCTCTCCATGGCAGGAGGCACTGCATGGAGGTATATGAAGGGCCCCGTCAACCCTGCTGTCCCACCAGAGATAGGGCTCCCACCTGAGATGGAATATGTCTGACATGTCAGAGGACAGTTGCTGCCAACACACCTGGAAGAACCCAACAACTGCCACCTCCGCACCACTGATGAAGGCTTCCACATCTGCGATGTCATTCAATAGGACAAGTTTCTCTGTACCTCCTTCCGTGCCTGGAGAGAAAAGGTTAGAATTGGACCAAGGGTACAGAAGAGCAGCTCTGATGCTCCCACACATACCTATGTGAGCATCTCACCCCTTACATGCCCCCCCATATCTCTCCCACCAGCTTGATGCGCAGCTTGTATAGCACACCCTGGGTGAGGAGGACTGAGAAGGCTCACTTACTGTGGGATGTAGAGCTGTTATCTTCAGCACAGCCTGCTGGGGAGCTCCCGGCTAGGAGGACAACAAAGAGACATGAGAAGACAGAGGTGCCCATGGTGCCTGCTTGCCTTCTCTTCACCATGCCACCTTGCTCCACACCTCTCCTTGGCAAGCGACACGTCAGCTGCTTCTGGGGCTCGCAATCACTCCCATGTGATGGGAAAGGAGCAGCTGGCCAGGGCAAAGCTTCCAGCTCCTGAGATAACTGTTTGGCTGGGAGAAAGCCCTGGGCCTCCCTGCTGCACAGGCATCAGCCTTGGGCAAACTCACCAACACTGTTGCTGGTATGCCCTCACACACAGTGTTGGGCATCTCAACCACACCACTGTGTAGAGGGTTCCCCTGCACTTCCCTGGGTGCTGGGTCTCACAGATGCTCCCATGTACTTGCTCAGCCAGTGGGACATGCAGCTCCTGTATCTCCTCTGGTGGATGAGAACAGTTGCCGTGGGAAATATTAAGCATGAGAAGCGAATGCCACATGCGCCTCACCGCCAAACTGAAGTATCAGGAGCCATACTCCAGAAAAGAAAGAGACGCTCATGCAGAGAAGAAGAAAGAAATCATTTTTATTCTTGAGACACTGATGTCTTGTTACAGCATCTAGCTGCATCCCCTTGACTGGTTTTGCCTGCACAATAATGGATTTCAACGGGGTGGGGCACCAGATACAAACCAGGAGACCATCATGGGAGATATAAGTAGCCATTTACAATGAGTCAGGGCACATGGCAAGTGTAACTCAGAGAGGGATTTTCCAGGGGCCAGTCTGCCCTGCCAGGAGACTCAAGGAGCTGGCGAGGTGATCTTGTTTCCTAGAAAAGGCACTTCCCGGGACCAGAGTTGATACAGGAGGAGAGATGGAGGCAACAAGAGGAAGTACTGGGGGAAAGGGCGGGATATGCTTCCCAATTTAATCCATTGCATGTCATGATGGGATGGTGGTGAGAATGGGCGGGTTATTTTCAGTGTATCAGAAGAAGCAGCAAAGGCCACCTGCAGGCCTGTGCATCAACCAAGGCTGGCACAGAGCCCCAGCACCCATGAGGAGAGCTGCAAGGGCTGTGGCCGGCCATGGTGGCAGGATGGAGCAGCGTGGTGGGCATGGCCCACCTGGAGACTGGTGCAGGAGGCAAAGGGAAGGGAAGGGGGAAGGCAAATGGGGTGAGCTCATTCTGTCCATTCCTTCTTGATGGACAGGTTCCACTCCCAGGTGAGATGGTCGTGCTTGTCATCATCCGTGAAGAAGGACTTGTTGTGGTAGGTGCCTCGAGCCAGCATCCCCTTAGGAGCTTCTTCAATAGGCGTCAGGAATTCATACTCCTCTGGCCGTGGCCCATAGCTGCCAACCATAAATGTGGCTTTGTCCACTAGGAGAAAACAATCCACATGCAATGAAACACTCAGGAGGGGAATAACAAAGGAGAGAAAAAGCTATGAACACAAGTACAGATCACTGACAGAAAGGAAATAGCGGAGTGGTGAGAGAAAGGGACGTGGCAAGCAAGAGGTACCATCAGTGAAGGAAGTGAGAAGGTGGGCTAAGATGGGCAGGGAGTTAAGTCTGTACCCTCTCACATCTCTATGCTGCTCTCACAACAAACACCTGTGGGAAGTATGCAGCCTCAACACACAGATAGAGATCTCTCTTTATCCTCTGTTACTTCTCTCTTCTGGTCAGAGGACATTGCCTGCATGCTTAATGAGACAATGGAGCCTTAGCGGTGGTTGTATGCAAAAATACATATGTGGGATGTGTGTGCAAAATGGGGCTTTCCTCTGCCAAGCCCAGGCAGGGCAGCACTGTAAAAACACATGAGGCTACAGGCAAGCACAATCCTCCACAGACAGTGGGAAGCTCTGCAGAGCAGCTCTGAATTTTACCAAGTGCATCTGGAAGAAACTTTGATGGGTGAGAATCTCCACAAGGACTGAGCCACACTTCAAGGGCTGGTGGGGGAGGTGAAGAGTAAGCCTGTGGCAAACACCGTCTGAACAGCATCTCTGGGGACATTTCTGCTGCAGCTGGTGGTGTAGCATACAGACAGCAGAGCTGGCTTGTAATGAGTTCACACAGGCACAGGAAACAGTTGGTCTGGGTGACACAAAGTGCAGGCAAATGCACTCTGCTGAGAAGCCACATCTCCTGTGTAGCAGCACAGGGAGGCCCTGTCCTAGTCCAGATCTGCAGGAACACTTATTTGAGCAGAGAGGGTTGCAAGAGAAAGAGCATGGGTGTGAAGGGCATGCAGGTCTCTTACTCACCCTTCACTCCTGTTCGGTAGGTGTGCTGCACGTATTTTAGTCCTGACACAATGTCCCTGTTTACCTGCACAAAGTGACCAGAAATAAGAGTCACTGGGAGAATCTTGATCCTGTATCTGCTGTTTTTTCTCTCCTTAGAGAGATGTCCACCTTGGCTCCTCACACAACTGCTCTCAAGAGTTTGAGAAAAGACACGCTGTGGGGAGTCCTAATGTCACTTCCCAACAGGCAGCCAGAGACCTGCAGTATTCTCTGTGTGTCTGAGGGCATCTCCTTGTTGACTTTGAAGGTGTCTGAGGCAGATTCCCAGAACAGACTAATAATGACAAAGTGAAGCAAGGGAAACCAGAGATGGGTGACTGGAGTCACGCTTTCAGTACAAATACGTGAGCAAGATTCACTGAACTCTCCCAGATGCCCTCTAAACTCAGTGAGGAGCTGGCAAAGCTCCTCATGAGAGGAGCTCCTCAGGAGATGGAGGGCACAGTTTTGTTTGTAATCTTTCTTCGAATCTCCCATGGATATCTCTTGCTGCCCCTATCCCACACACACTGCCCCTCTACAAAACAGTTCCATGGTGAAACAAGATGGGAAGATCCTTTTACATCTTGAGGAGAATTCACATAGTGTCAGCTCCTACCAGCTTTGGGACTAAGGGAGTCCCAAAGTAGCTCCCTTAAGTAACTCCAGGCATCTCCTGTCAGCAGGGCTCAAATACAGCTGGAAATATTTCATTGCATAAAAGAGAGCTGGAAGTGTGTCTAAGGACAATGCCATCTGAGACAGCAGGTAAACCTCAGAGACAGAGGGAAATCTTTCCTGCAGAGCCTACACATTTACATTTTCCCTCCTGTTTCAGGAACACTATCTTCCTTCTCTTTACCTTCTCTGCCAAACCCAGCTTTGTCTGCAGCAAACATTTGCAGAGATGATCATTTCAGTGCTGGATGCCACACTGCAGTGTGACTGAATTTTGTTCTCAGCTGGAAACAGCAGAAGTGGCTGACACACTGCTTAACAGAAGAGTAGGGGTTGAAACTAGCCCCTTTTTGGATATGTCATATAGCCACATTTGGATATGTCATGACTCAAGAGAATTCAGGTATCTTCTGCCAAATGCTACAGTATTAAATCTTTGCTATGCATTCATCAAGCCCAGCAATGCAAGCAGAAGAGCCATCATCTCTTTTCCTTCTTTTCCATTCCCACTCTGTGTGAATTAAAGACTTTCTCTTGGCTGTAAAGTCCAGCCAAATTCAGCCAAAATTTCCAAATAACCTGTTGTTCACCATCCTTGATGGACAGAAGGCAACTTCTTCCAAGGGATGAACAGGCAGAAGTAATTCTCTGAAAAGACCAAGTCCCTTGATGGGTAGAACAATACATAAAGCAACTCACTTTGAAATGGATCTTAACTCTGTATTCAACTCCTTCCTTTAATACAAAGGTCTCTTTCTTGAGTGCTTCAAGGTCACCTGTGAGAAGAGGATCAAGCCATTAACTAGGGGTGTCACAGCAAGGAGAGAACACCTGCAGAGGGCCAGGGTTGGGACTGGTGTCACGGTGAGCATCCCTTCAAAAGACTGCATACCTGCAACGCGAATACACTGCAATTGCCCAATGAGCAGACATTGGCAGAAATGCCAACACCTGAGCAGTGCGTATGCATCAGTCTTCACACCAAAGCATCATAGAAGCATTAAGGTTAGAAAAGGCCACTGAGATCATCTAGTCCAACCAACAACCCATCATCAATCACCATGCCCACTAACCATGTTCCTCAGTGCCACATCCACATGCTTCTGTGTCGACAGTGCTTAATACACACAGGTCTTGGTACACAGAGATATTTATGTGCAGGCTCATCGTTAGGCACTACACACTGTTAATACCCTGCTTCAGCCATGCCCAGTACCAGACCGGGTGAACTGAGCTGTGTATCACAGCCCCTGCCCAGCTAGTGAGGCCTCCCAGGCACTGTGTGGTTGCAGTTGAACAGGAAGCTGCTCTGCCCCTCTGGGCCTGGCTTCCTCTCTATATAGAAAAGCCCATATAAGGTGAAGCCTGTTCCTCTCCCCATGTCCTCTGGAGCCGGAACTGCAGTATTGCTTGATTCTGAAGTTTCAAAACAGCCTGTTACCCAAATGCATGCACGTCCCCTGTGCTCTAAATGAAAGGAAGAAGAGAAAGCAGAAGGAACCCTTCTACCAGAAGCTACCAGAGCAGTCTAGATGAGAGAAAGATCCTCCGCACTTCCCTCTGTTGCATCTTCTTTTTCATACAAGTGCACCTTAAAATCAAAAGCAAGGCTATGATATCCTCACGACTCCTCTAAAGCCCACTGATATCTTGAGGACAAACTCCCTTTCAGTTTGAAACATCCCAGAGCCTTTGTGTGTTCCTCTGTGTGCCCAGTGAGTCTGTACCCACCTGTAAGGTCCATAGTGATTGGTCCTGGAGCAGAGTCACACACCAGGGTGAGTCGGGTGACCACCACGTTGGGAGCTGTTGGGTCTGCAGGTAGGAAAGTAAGGGAGAAGCTGTCAGCTTGTGAAATTAAATGTTTGAGGGGGAAGGGGGACAGAAACCAAAGAAATGCTTCTGAACTTCCCACACAGAGGATGCACTTCGCAAAGCACCCAGTAAGACCAAACTTCTTGTAGCACAACAGGACCGTGTATCTACGCCAGACACTCAACATGGATCCCTCCAGCCACTACCTCAATTCCTAGACAAGGTCTTTCCACCACAGGAGACATCTCTCTTCAGGTCCCATTTCAGCACAAGCTGGTTCCCTCATATTCCTAACCCCCCTGCA